ACTAACTCCTTTTTGTTGTTTACTCAGAACAACAGGCCACCACATACCAAGGACATTATCGCATACCTGGGTGTTGGGCAAGCCCCCTTGTGCACTCAGCCCATATCCTGACCCCCTCCCCTCTTTGCACTCCCCACTCTACTATGCACACACCCTACTTGCCCCCTTGTGCATTCAGCCCACCCTCTTTGCACTCACCACTCTACTATACACACGCCCCACCTGCCCCCTTTGCACAACGTTTATCCCTTTCTTCTTATTTGCTCAACTGAGACTAAGAGAATTCATCCCTGAGCCAATCAGCCTAGAACACGACCACCCTGTACCTGTCAGTTTGGGACAGACAGGGTTTACCTACCAATAAGGAGACGGGGTGGGATGGACTAATGGGAGGGAAGAGAGAGGGGTATAAAGGGACATTCTGGATAGTCTATAGGGTCTGTTCCCACTTTTTCTTAAAGGGGCATCCCACGCTCTGAGCTTGAATAAAAACTCCTCATGCTTTTGCAGCGATGTTCGGACTCTCAGAGTACTGCTTGAATTGAGTCTGGGGGCTTACAAAGGCAACTAAGGGACAAAGCAGTACAAGGAGATGAAGATCCTAGCATCCTTCCTCTTTGCAGGGTGCAGAATCAGTTAGTTTATTACCCCATCCTCTTTACAAAAAGTATCCATACTTGCATCTGTCACATCTGCCATCATTTTCACCTGTTTTTTTACAGGTAAATATAGGGATATTTATTTATTAGCATTGTCAGTATAGATTCATGGACTCAGTTTTGCTCAATGCTTTTTAATCTGTTAATTTTCCTAATATATATAAGTATACATGCATATGTATTTAGATGTTCAAATTGTCCCAGTTATAAATATATATTAGGAATGTACTAGAAACCATAAGTACATATGGCCAATTCATATCCAACCTTACTTTTTTGCTTACCCTGTTCTATGTAAGCATTTTCCTTCTTTGTGCAATCCTACAATACATATAAATTATGCCATATCTTTTACACCTATTCCATTATGAAAAATAAATAAAGAAGGCTTCAACATTTGTTTGCAGTTTTTAATATTCTTTCAGTTTTATTTATTTATTTATTTATTTGAGACAGAGTCTCACTATGTCATCCTTGGTAGATTGCTGTGGCATCACAGATCACAGCAACCTCCAACTCTTGGGCTTAAGTGATTCTCTTGCCTCAGCCTCCCAAGTAGCTGCGACTATAGGCACCTGCCACAATGCCCAGCTATTTTTTTTTTGTTGTAGTTGTCATTGTTGTTTAGCAGGCCTGAGTGGGGTTCAAACCTGCCAGCACTGGAGTATGTCTCCAGCACCCTAACCACTGAGCTATGGGAACTTTATTTATATTCTTAAATAAAAAACTAAGGGTTATGTTGTCCAAAGTTCCTTAGATTAACTTTTCTTGCCCTATCAGTGTGTTTATCTATTTGGAATATATCTGAGTTCCTTTTTAAAATTCAGTTTTAGGTCTTTCTCATCTTTGACATTTAATTGTATTTTTAATTAATAGAATATTAACATTGTTCCAAAAGTCTAAAGTAGAAAGGCACATGAAGAAAAATGCCTTTCCCGCTCCGTCCCTTCCACTCTGGTTCAGACTCTTCCTCAATATCTTACAAGTAACCACTGAGTTACTTTCTGGTTAATTCTTCCTGTATTTCTTTGCAGAAGGACAAGCTACATGTTCATGCTTTTGTATTTCTTTTTATTTTCACGAAATGAGTGCATAGTAATCCTCATTTGTTTTACAACTTTGTAATGCTCTACTGTTTCTTCAATGAATTGTGCAGCCATTAAGTAGTTTCCGATATTTTGGAATTAGAAATGATGCTTCAATTAATAACCTTGTGCAAATTATTTTTAAAATGGTCAGAGGTGTGTCTTTAGGCTAAATTCCTAGAAATAGGATTTATGGATATTACATATTGGGTTGAAGAGTGGCCCCCCAAAACATATGTACAAGTCTTACACTTTGAAACCTGTGAATGTGATTTTATTTGGAAAAAGTCTTTGTAGGTATAATTAGGTTAAGGATCAGAAGATGGAATTGTCTTGAATTTAGGGTGGGCTCTTATTCCAGTGACAAATTTTCTAATAAAGGAAAGGCAGAGGGAGATTTGAGACATTTGGGATTTACCCATGTTTTATTCTTTCTTGTAATGTTTCATTTTTTTACAGTTATATCTCTGATTCTTAGTTTATCCTTATTTTATAGTAGGGGGAAAGGTTTTAACTTTATCTTTTTTTCCCCTCAATGGTTATCCAGTTGTTCCCAGAAAAGTCTTTCTTTGTTAAATATTAAATTTCCATTTATACTTGAGCCAATTTTCAGACTTTCTAAATTATCTTGTCTGTCTGCCTTTTTTCCCCCTCTATTCTTCCACTGACCTCAGCGTTTTCCTGACCATTCTTGTGTGTTTTTTTTCTATATGGACTTTGGTATTATCTTGTCTACCGAAGGAAAAAAAATGGGAAGATTTTTATTAGGATTCCATTAAATTGATAAATTAGCTTAGGGAAAACTGTTATCTAAGTGATGTTCAGGCATCTTATTCAAGAAGGATTTTATGGCTTGGTGCCCATACTGCAGTGGTTATGGCACCGACTACATACACTGAGGCTAGGAGGTTTGCACCTGGCCCAGTCCTGCTAAACAACAATGACAACTGCAATAAAAAAATAGCCAGGTGTTGTGGCGGGTGTCTGTAGTCCCAGCTACTTGGGAGGCTGAGGCAAGAGAATCACTTAAGCCTAAGAGTTTTCCTCATTGATTTGAAATGCCACTTTTTATTTATTCAAATAAATTTCAAATTAAATTAATTTAATTTGTCTAATTAATTATTTAATTAAATTAATTACATTTGTCTAATTTAATCCATTAATTTAAAAAAGTAGGCTTTGAAATGTGTATATACACATACATTATGCCCATATATAGTATATTCAATTGGCTAGAGTTAGGGGAGAGGAAATTTATAAACTATGTGTTGTTTGGTTTATAAAAATGAATGGTATATTTTGTCAAATGCTTTTTCTGCATTGATTGAAAGGATCATATATAAGATTTTTGCTTTTGTGTCTACTTATGTGGTGAATTACATTTATAGATGTGTGTATGTTGAACCATCCTTGTATCTTGGAGAAGTTCACTTGGTCATGGTGAATTATTTTCTTGATGTCCGGCTGAATTCCAATGTTCATTGAAAATTTTTCCATCTATATTCATAAGGGATATTGGTCTGTAGTTTTCTTTTGTAGGTGGCTTTGGTATTAACCACAGTGAGATATCACCTAACTCCAATGATAATGGCTCATATTAAAAAGTCTAAAAACAAGTGATGCTGGTATGGATGTGGAGATAAAAGAACTCTTAAAAATTGTTGGTGGGTCTACAAACTAGTAAACCTCTATGGAAAAATTGTATGGAGATACTTCAAAGAACTTAGGGTAGACATACTATTTGATCCAGCAGCCCCCCTCCTGGGTATATATAACCAAAGGGAAAACGATCATTTTATAAAAAGGATAGCTGCACTTGAATGTTTAAAGCAGCACAATTCACAATTGCAAAGATGTGGAAACAACCCAAGTGCCCACCAATACGGGAATGAATTAATAAAATGTGGTACATGTATAGTATGGAGGACTAGTCAGTTATAAAAACAATGGCAAACTAGTATCTTTTATGATAACCTAGATGAGACTGGAAACCATACTTCTAAGTCAAACATCAAGAGAATGGAGAAACAAACACATGTACTTAATACCCAGTTGGAACTAATGGATCAACCTTTAAGTGCACATATGGAAGTAAATCTCAATGAAAATCAAGCAGGAGGGAGGGATGCGGAGGGGGTGAGTAAATTCATACCTGTCTGGTACAGTGCACACTATCTGGATGAAGGGCACACTTATAACTCTGACTCAATTTATACAAAACCCAAAATATATAAACAAAACACAGGTACCCCCTAATATTCTGAAATAACAAAAAAAATGAAAAAAAAGAACATTGTAAAAACTACATTAAGCAAACAAAACTCGACAAAACAAATCCAAAAACCCACCAATGAGAAACAGTGTTATATTAGTGCTGTGAGGGGAAGGGTCACTCTTTGTAGGGGAGAGGGCAATTATTTCATAGCACAAAGTGGCCCAAACCATGCTTCTCCCTTGGTGTGGTAATAAGAAAGGAAAACCAGTGAGTGTTCAAACTGACCCCACACATCTGATGTTTCTTTGTGTCTTTCTGGACTGAGACACCACTGTTCACTCACAGCACGCTTTAAGTGCAGCCCCTCTGTTGGAGCCCAGAAACTTCCCACCCACTAAGGGAATCTCAGAAGGAGCAACACAGAGCTCTAGGGTCTTGCCTCCCGGTCACCTGGTTGGGATTTCTGTCTCAGGCCAATCGCATTCTAAAGTGTTGCTCTTTCTCACATGTCCCTGTATTGCTCTGACCCCTAAGATCCAGCATAAATCAAAGATGCCATATCCATCTGTATCTGTCAGCTAAGATAGGTGGGTTTGTTGGCAGGAGGAGTTGCTCCTCCAGTGTTGGTATCTGATGTTACTAAGTGTTTGTGTCCCTCATATGAATCCCATCATATGAGGATTCATATGATGAAATCCTCACCCCCAAGGTGAAGGTTTAGGAGCTGGGGCCTCTGGGAGGTGATCATGAGTGAGGTTAATTTCCTTACAAAAGGGACCCCAGAGAGCCCTCTCTGTTCTTTCTGCCACTTGAAGACACAGAAAATCTGGCTTCTCTGAACCAGGAACCTGACGAGTCTGGCACCCTGATTTCAGACTTCCCACCTCAAGTGCTGTAAGAAGACAATTCTGTTGTTTGCAAGCTACCCAGTCTGTGGTACTTTGCCACAGCAGCTGGTATAGACCAAGACACCAGGTTTAGAGGTTTATAACTGTGCAAACTTCAGTGTTCCCAGACCTTTCCCTTTAACCACTCCTGTCATCAGTCAGAGTGACAGTTTTTATTACAAGATGTGTAAGGTACAGACAACTCTGGTTAGATGGAGAAGATTGGGGGAAACCACCCACCCTCCAAAACATTTCCATGAGGCTCCTCAGACCCCAAGTCAGGTAGTGCTATGGCTCCTGGGCAAGTGTTCTAGGTTGGCTTCACAAACTTGCCTAGAAAAAGGCTGCTCCACGTGAAGTGGTCAAAGACCAAGATGAGGAAGGGCCGATTGAAACTGACGTTGATTGTAAATGATTGGCTAGATGTCAGGTATGGGGTGACCACTCTGGAGGCAGATGCCTGCACACCCTCCTCATCAAGTTGCAGCACGGCCTTGTGGACCACCTGTTAGGTATGGACCAGAGATGGTGGTGAGACCCTGCTGTGTGTTAGCACTTTCCAGGCCTCAATGCCTGGACTCCTCCCACCCTCAGCTTTGTCCAGGTGAAGCTGAAGCTATGAGAAGGTCATTTGCTTCTTGTCCAAGCAGCAACCCAAGGAAAACAGTCTGTTCACCCCCAGAATCTGGGGCCACACCCATGCTTCCTTCCCATATAAAGGGCAGATTGGGCCCATCACATGGAGATTAGGATCTTGTGGCTTGAACTGGGCTTCAATACACATATTGGGTGCTTCTTACTGGGTCCTGGGCTGGCAGAGGAGACCTTGCTCCCTTTCCACTCTTCTAGGTAAACACTAGGGTTCAGTTTTTGCAAGGTACTAATTCCTTCTCTGTTTGGGAAAACTGAAGCAGAATCTAAAATGTAAATATTTGACTGTTGACATGTCTTGTGTTGTGGTCAAAATTAGAAGAAATTCTGAGATTAGCCAAATGTTTGACTCGCTTATATTGAAAGCCTTCAGCGGATCATAACCTAGCTAATTAAACAACAGGTGATGTCTGGTGACCTTGAAACACCCCAAGAGGTGGAGACTGTCATTGATTCTTTGTGAGAAGGACTCTGAGGCTCTGAGAAGCTCTGCAAGTAGGCACCCTGGGCTAGGGAGAAGCTGAACTAGGATCAGGACCCTTGCAGTATATCTTGAGAGTATGAGGTTTGGGGTCAATGATCCAAGGTCAAATGTCAGACTGTTATTTACTATCTCTGTGAACATGGGCAAGCTACATACCCTCCCTGAGCCAGAGATTCCTCCTGTGATAAATTGGGGTAATTAATGGTACTCACCTTATGAGGAGGTAGCTGCAGTGACTCAATCATGTGTTTTGCTGAGCACAGCACATACTGTGGTGGCCACAAAAGCCTCTGTGCTTTCAGAGCATGGGACACATCTGAGTGATGCAGCATGTTCAGAGCCTCACATGATTTGGGCCACTTAGTAGATGTTAAATAAAAATTTTCTGAATAAATGAATCACAGAACACAAAGCCGAAGAGTAGAGACAGTCACTGTAATTCAATAGAGGCTCCATGTGATCCCAGTTAGACATTTGAGCTTCCCCTGCTTCTTTTTTGTCAGAGCCACCATGACAACTCTATTTTCTGTAGGGGCCCCTGTGTGTGGTCTGGTGGGACAGGCAGACACCTAGGCTGTGGCCCTCCCTTGTTGGGGACACCACATTTTCTTGCTGAGTCTCTGCTTACTCCAGAGTGAAACAAGGGGCTTGACTCAGACCTGGGGTTCTCAGCCTGGGACTTAGGGGCCCATTTATGAATGAGCTCTGTGTTGTTTACTTTTATTAATTTTATTGTGAAGGTTGGAGGAAAATAAAGGTGGGTTCCCAAGACACTTACCTTAGATAACCTCAGCTGGCCCTCCTGAATGATGCCTGAGAAATCTGCGTTGCTAGTGAACAAGTCTCCGATACCCAGCTCTGCCAGCACATGCCGCAGGTCATAGGCTCCAGAGATGGAGACCTTTGGGATGTATAGGTTCACCCGGCTGCTCAGGAAAAGCCGGTAGGGTTAGATATTCCAGGGCAGCAACTCCTTTCTCCTTTCTCCACCAGACTGCCATATTCTTGTGATTCCCCCAGTTCCTGCCTCAGAGCTCTTTGGGGACAAGAGAAGGGGTAGGATAGGAAGGGGCCCCAAGCACACAGGCAGCTTCCTCTTTGAGCCCCTGAATTGCATATTCTTCTTTTTCTCAGCAATTCCTTTGAACCACTTTCACCTGTGATACAGAGGGACCACTGAGCATTTAAGACAGTGGGCCCTAAAGGAGTCCTCCTGGCTCCCAGAGGACGCCCTGCTTGCAGCAGCAGAGGGAGGCAGCACAGCACCCAGCTGGGAGCAGCAGTGTGGCCTTTGCCACATCCAGCCCCTCTGTGCTTGTGTCCTCATCCACACAACAAGGTGGTAGAACCCAGGTTCTCCCAGGGCCCTTGGCTGCTCAAGTTCTGATTCTGTACGAACTCAGTGATTCAGCAGGCAGTTTTCCCTGGAGGAGGCAGGTGGGGTTTCTAGAAAGGTAATTAAAATCATATTGGAGTGGCATGGGCATCCGTACTTTTTGACATATCAGGGCATTAGTTTTATTTTTTAACTTTTTCCTTTGATCCCTGGAGGGAGAGAAGTTGACTGAAACCTAAAACTGGGGGGCATCAGTGAAAGTGCATGGGCTCACTGGCAGGTAGGAGGGAAGGCATGAGACCCTCTCTTCATCGAACAAAAGCAGCCTTGGACAAGGCCTGGAGACAGCGGACAACCAGCCTCTGTGAATTCTGAGCTGTGCCATCCAAAAGGCATTGAGGAGCGACCTCGGGTGAGTAGGTATATGCTTGCTTTCTAGATGGGGAAATAGTCACGGACAGAAAGGTGAGAAGAGAGCACCTCCCAAACACATGGTCTCTGTTCTTTCCCTTCTCCGCCTTGTCTCATTAGCATACACACATAAAGTCCTAGAAAGCTGGAACTGGCATCTTTCATTTCCAGACTCAGAAATTGATACTGAGGCTGAGGCATCCCCCCCAGAGTCACATGATTGGAGAGCATCTGAATTGCAGACACCAAGACTAGTCTACCACCTGCCACCTGCCATCTGCCACACCATAGGGCAGCTCTTGGAGGGTGAGGCGTTGGCGCTTGGAGGTACAGACTTGGTTGGTGCCACATCCTCTTCATGGCTGCTCTAGGACCACTTCCCACTGGCTGAACCTCCCCCTCAGGCTCAAGGCAGTTCAAAGGAAAAGTAATCTGCTCCCCAACCCTTTCCCATTTCCTAGGGGAGTCAGGTGTTCCTTACCTCCAACCACAGTTATTTTTCTTCTCTCTCTCTCTCTGACAGAACTTACATCATTGCACTATTAATTCCACTAGAATCTGTTGTCTGCTCTCCACTGCATTTTCTATGAAGTCTCTGTTTTGTCCTGTTCACTATTCTATACTGTGTGCGTAGCCTGATGGGAGCCATGCAGCAGGTGCTTTCATTTATACATATCATATGAATGAATAAATGAAACGCTGCCTGCTGCAGCAGTCTTCCTGAGCTATTCCAGACCCACGTGCCCACTCTGTCTCCTATCTCCTCTGCCCTTTGACTCTACACCAGCTCATCCACCACTGGATTCTATGTTGATTGGCATTTTCTGATTCTTTTGTACAGAACTTGAATGTCCCTGGGAACAAGGATCATGTTCTCAAGAACACCTCCTTCCTCCTCTAAGGTGAAGAGTAGGGCTGGGCATATGCATGCAATAATTTCAATTGCTCTCTAGAGCTTCTCAGGGGAAAATAAGTTCATTTGTTCATTCATTCATTTATTCACTCGTTCATTCATTGCTAACTCACAGACCTAGCTGATTTTCCCAGAGTACCAACTCTGCACGAGCCCCTTGCTTGGGTCTGAGGTTACAGACAGCTTGTCTCCTGACTACCGGTCCCTCAGCATATACCCCCATCTCTTTTTTCTTACTCATTTATTACCTATGAATACCCTCACTTTCTTATTTACTGATTGACTGAAGAATTAGATTCCCTGAGTGACTAATAGCCTTTGCAGTGGTTCCACAATGGACACAGAGGTCATTTTCATGTTTTGTTTTTGAGACAGAGTCTGTGTTCTGATTAGACTGCATTGGTGTCACCATAGCTCACTGCAACCTCAGACTCCTGGGATTCTTCTCTTTCAGCTTCCTGAGTAGATGGAACTACAGATGTGTGGCATAATGCCCAGCTGGGTTTTTTTACTTTTTTGTGAAGACAGGAGTCTCACTGCTCAGGCAAGTCTTGAATTCCTAAGCTCAAGCAATCCTCCTGCCTCAGTCTCCTGAAGTGCTAGAATTATAGGTGTGAGCCACTGCACTCAGCATCTTCATGGTATTTAATGGCATCTCCCAGGAATCTTTAGAAGGGCTTGATTTCAGGTGAACAAGTTAACAAAATGGGTAAGCAGGGATATGGGTGGTTGGTGAGCTCATTTTTAAAAAGATACAGAAATCTGATGATACAGAGGTTGGCTATGAACCTCACAGGGTAAGGGGACCTCAGTTTGTAGAATGGCTTCAAAGTATCTCAGCAATGATTGACAGGTTGATAAATGAGTGTGACCTCTAGATCAGAGAACCGAACAGCCCCCGGGGACCCAGAAGACAAGAAATGAAGACTTGAAGGCTGAGTCTGGGCAAAGAAGGATGCCCAGATCCACCCTTTTCCCCTTTTTTTCAGAAATCCTTCTGGGGACAGATGCAGAGGCCTTACCTAATGTTCAGGCTGTTGGACCATCTCTGAATCGTGTCCCGGCTCAGTGCATTGATGACCGTGTCCATCTTCCCCTGGTCAGGAAGGATGAAGAAGATGGTCCCATTTCCCACGTAGTTCAGCTGTAGCAGCTGGCATGGGAGCTCCGAGTCACGCAGGTACCTGAGGGGACGTGACTGGAACATCATGGGCACCTTCATCACAGTTGTCTCGTTCACATAGAAGTTTTCCTCCCTGGTGCTATTTGGGTCAAAGGGCTGTGTCCACGTGCCTGGGAAGGGGACAGAGAGAAGGTCAGGGACATGCTTATAGGGCAGAGAGAGAAAACTGGAACTCAGGTGGCCCCTATGGGTGGCCAAAGGGCTTGACACAGCTGCCTCCTGTATGTCTGGAATGCCCCCGCTGGAGCCTTGAGAGTTTTCTGGTAAGATGTGAAAATTCCAAGGGGTTTAAAGCCTGTTCTGTCCTCTACCTCTTGGAATAGGTAGGGAATTAGCTCTGTTTCTAAGATTGGCTTCCAAACATGGAGAGGGGTGAGACCCAGAGAGGGCTGCTCCTTGGATCTGGAGTAGGACTCACCTGACCCAGACCTTGCCCCAGCAACCCGTCACCCCAGTTCTTAGGAGAACTGTTAGTGGAGAAACTTAGAATCTATGGGAGAATATCAGAGAGTAAGAATGACTCCCCTAGAAAATAATCTTTTCACATTATTTTTAATGTCCTCTAAAAGAAGCTGTCAGGGGAGTCTAATACACAAAGAACATAACAAGGACATTTTACAAGCCCTAAATTTAGTGATAATAGTGACATCACTCTTCATTTCTATTTATTATCCTGGCTTGCTGGAAACATTTCAGAGTATTCTCCAAGCTTAACCAAGGGCTTGCCAATTAGTTTTGCTATATCACAGAAAATCTGTGTACAGAGGCATTTCATCCCCATCAATGTCTGGTAAGCTATTCACATGTTCTCAGGCCTCTCTCAGGCTCAGTAGGGAGGTACCTGAGTTTTCTGTGCCTTCTCCAAAAGCTGTACTGTCAGAACCTCTAAGCAAACACTCTCCTTCCATGTACCAGGCACTAAGCAAAGGTCCTGGGCTCCTAAAGAGATAAGGACGCCCCACACAGGAATGCATGGTCTCATGGGAGAGATATCTTGTAGAATTTGTAGGATTCCCCAGAATCATTTCTGGGCAAATGTTCCCAGCCTCCCTGAACCTCCTACTCTCAGATATAAGGAAAGCTACCTGTGCTCCCTCAGACTCTCAGCTTCACCTCCCTTAGGGCAGGGTGGCCTCTGTAGGAACTTCCCAGACTTGGGATGGAGAAATGGCAAAACCCAGAGGCAGGTGTGGGGGAGGGTACTCTCAGAGATGCTAAGTCAGTCCAGGCAATAAGGGAATGAGGGAAGGAGATGGGAGTACAAGGAACCTTTTCTGGGGATTATGTCTCAGCTGACCCTGTGATTTTGTTGAGAGACACATGTTCAATATTATAATTGCTGGCTATCTTTATTTCTGTCTGTTTCACCTGCTTTTATTTGAACAAGACCACCTAACTAAAACTGAGCCACTTGAGTCCCGGGCTACGTGTTATATAAAAATGATTGCTAAAACGAGGCCTAGACAAACATAGAATGTGCATGCAAGGACAAGATTTCCCCAGGGGAATCAGGGACCACAAGGAAGGTCAGAAGGGTGGGAAGATAGATGAGTTGAGAAAGTGCTTACTGGACAGAAGAGGCTTGGGCTTTGTGACCCAAGGCAGAAAAACAGCCCCCAAAGATGTCCATGTCCTTATCCCCAGAAACTGTGGATATGTTGGTTTACATGTCAAAGGGGAATTAAGCTGTAGATGGCATTATAGTTACTGATCAGCTGGTTGTGAGATGTGGAGATTAACCAGGGGGGCCTTAGAAGTAGAAGAGGAAGGCAGGACAGTTGAATCAGGGAAGGAGACATGATGATGGAAGCAGAGTTGGGAGTGACACAAATTGCTGGTTTTGAGGATGGAAGGGGGCCAGGAGCCAGGTAGCTTCTAGAAGCTGGGAAAGGCCTGGAAACACATTCTCCCTAGAGCCTCCAGAAGCAACTAGCCTCGTCAAAATCTTGATTTTAGCCCAGTATGACCCAATTTGGAATTTTGACTTCCCAAATTGTAAGAATATAAATATGTGTTGTTTTAAGTCACCAAGTCTGTGGTGATTTGTTACAGCAGCTAACACAGGCCTCCAGGGAGACAGGTGTACTATAGATGTAGGCTGTGAAAAGACATTGGTGTGACTGGGTTACATGTGTGCGCACATGCGCACACACGCACATGCACGTCTGCCTGTCTGTTATATGTGGAGAGCTTGGAGGAAGGAAAGCATTGAGGCAAGAGACTGGAGAAGACAGAAAAAGTAGACAACGTAGGCCATGGTTTCTCAGCCTTGGAACTATGGGCATTTGGGAGCAGAGATCACTGGCAGGGCGCAGTCCTGGGCTTTATGATGCTTAGTGGCTTCCCCAGCCTCTACCTGCTAGTTGTCAGGAGCACTTTCCATCCCTCCCCAGCCATGACAACCCAAAATGTCTTCAGACATTGCCAGCATCACCAGGAGGGTGAGGGAATTATCGTCTGTTGAGAACCACTGCTCTAGACTAAGGAATTTAGATTTTATTTAGTTTTAGTTTTTTTATTTAGTTATTTTCTTTGAGATGGAGTCTCACTCTGTGTCCTGGGTAGAGTGTCATGGCATCATCATAGCTCACAGCAACCTCAAACTCTTGGGCTTAAGTGATTCTCTTGCTTCAGCCTCCCAAGTAGCTGGGACTACAGGTGCCCACCACAATGCCTGGCTATTTTTTGGTTGTAGTTGTCATGGTTGTTTGGCAGGCCCGGGCTGGATTCGAACCTGCCAGCTCTGGTATATTTGACTGGCGCCTTAGCTGCTTAAGCTACAGGCACCGACCTATAATCTATAATTTTAACAAATCTCTCTGGAGATTTTTTAGCAACAGGCACTTTCAGAAACTGAGGCAGGATACAGTCAGAGCTGGCCATAAGTACCTGGACATTGTGTGCTAGATGCTTTGGGGAGCATTTGGGAGTTCCTGAGGGGTGGGGGCTATGTCAGTTTGAGACTGTATTTCCTGCCCTTGGCTCAGTGACTGAGGGTCAATATTTGTAGAGACTGACACAGCCAGATTGTTAATGATTATGAGTATGGGCCTTGAACCACCTGCCAGAACTTGGGTGAGTTGCTCAACTATCAACTCTTTTGGGTGTTATTTAGATCTTTTGTAAAATGCTATAGTTCCACCTTCCCAACAGATTGTGGTGAAGATGGAAACTCCCAGATGTGCATGTGCTTCATAAAATCAAAGGCTCTGCTGAAGCATATACCCTATATTTCAATGGCTGTTACTATTCTTGGCAATAGTGGATGGGCCTTGTCAGAGTGGGACAGGTGGAGGTACCTTTGAAGAAGATGTAGTTGATCAAGATGAGGTTGGCTGGGCTATTCAGCTCTGAGAACAAGTTGACAATTTTTCCTTGTGTCTTATTTTGGACATACTCATTAATCTGTCTGCTGGCTCTATCCCATTCCTGGAAATCCGTAGCCAAAGCCTCTGAGTCATAGAAGTGCCTCATATCTGTTAAGAATGTCTCTAGCAACTCCAGGCTGTGGTCAAAGAACAAGGCATTGCCCATGGTCATTTCTAAGCTGGTGGCTGACTCCTCAAGGAGGTGGTGGAGGTGCTGGAAGCTCTGGTGGATCTCAGCCTCAGCCATCTCTGTGAGGTTGAAGCCGAGGCCCTGGAGAAGCTGGGTCCGTGTGTGGCCCCAGGTGCCCAGGGAAAGCATAGCTAAGGCCATAGAGATGCTCACAGGTGAGATGAAGATGTTCTTGTCAGGAGTCAAGGCTACTAGGTGCTTATATAGGCTGAAGGCAAAGTCAACATTGGCTGGAGCTAAGCCCCGGTGATGGTTCTTCGCGTTCACATCAGCACTGGAGTGCTCAGCCTGGATGGTCCAGAGGCCACTGGTAGATAGCCAGAGGAGACAGGTGTACAGAACAAGTAGCATTGTTCACAATGGCCAGGCCCTGTCAAATCAGAAATCTTGTTAGATGACCCAGAATCCTGGAAGAATTGTGGTTACCAGGCGCTAGGAGGAGGGAAGATTGAGGAATGAGTGTTTAATAGGTGTAGATCTTCAGTATGAGATAATGAAAAAGCTCTGGAGATGGATGGTAGGGATGGTTACACATCAATGTGAATGTACTCAATGCCACTGAACTGTGTATTTAAAAATGCTTATGAGGTTAAATATTATAAATACTTTACCACAATATTATATATACCAAAATATATATAATACAATATATATAAATACAATATATATATATACAATATATATATACCAAAATACTTTATCACAATACAAATTAAGGAAGAAATTAAATATCAGATGTTTAAAAAAGTGGTAAAATATAAAAAAGAAAAAGAAAAATAAGTTTAAAAAAAGTGGCAAAAACAATTGAAAAAAAAAATCCACTCAAGGTCCAAAGTAGTTAATGGACATTGTCCACAAGGTCCGTAGTCCCAGACTGTGTACATTATAGAGCCACCAACAGTATCACAATAAACAACAGATGTTTATAAGTGAAGCAAGTCTCACTATACTACCCCACCTATGGAACCAGCAGCTCTAGGGAAGGAGCCAGGAACTCACATTTAAACCAAAACCCCAAGGACCTGTGATGAATACAATTAAATTAAATTTATACTAATGCTGCCTCTATATGTAACTTCATATGTAAACAAACTGCGACCTAATTCAAGAATATTTTTATAAGTAGCTAAGTCTTGGCCAATCACAGTAGCTGAACTTTCGGCTAATCACAGGCTGGAAGTTACTCAGACATGTTCAAATAAGGCAAACATGGAGCTGTAACCAATCAGGCTACTGTGTCCTCTGTCCTTTTCTTTTTTTCTTTTTCCTACAGATATTATCTGACCCCATTGCTACAGGGAGCTCTCTAAACTTTTACTGGTTTAGGTGCTGCCGAGCTCATGAATTGTTTCTTTGCTCAAATAGCTGTGCTAAATTTAATTTGTCTAAGGTTTTTCTTTCAACAGGTGCATTCTGAATGTGGCATCCACTGTTCTGCTCTGGAATACCTCACATGTCGCTTCCCTGGCATGTTCTAAAACTAGAACCTCAAGAGAGACAGGTGGGAGTCCCTTCTACTGACTCCTAACCCCTCTGGAACCCTTTGAACACTCCCTCTGTGTCCCTTCTTATTTCACTAGGTTGGAAAAACTTCCCCTTCTGGCTGCTCTGTTTTCCATGTCTCTACTTCAATAACAGAGGCAGGTGGGACCAGCTCTCCAACCCACCCCTAGCCCCTGGGGTTTATTGGATTCTCTCCCACATCTAATTTCTGACTTGGATTTCTGCCGAGTCACTGGGACATTTCTAAATGGGTTTCAAGGCAAACTGAACTGGATAGGGCTCCAGTGCTGGTATTTCTGAACCGGTGCTGTAGAGCAGGCTGTTTAAACTCTGTCTTAGTTTCCCCATTATAAAATAGAGCTGATAATAAAACCTGCCTGTACTCTTGCCCGTTTTTCTGCAGTTTGTCTCCTCTCCAGTCCCAGTGCACAGCCCACGTGTTTGGGGCTCATCACCTCCCCCAAATCTTAGCAGTCACCCCTACCTGGTCTCCCTGCCTCCTGCTCAGCTCCCTCTGCCCTTATATTCCTCTGCAGCCAGCTACGTCTTTCTTAATTCTCTAAAATTCAAGCTATTCTCCTGCTGAGGATCTTCAGTGTCTCCCTATTGCCCTCAGGAGAGGCTGATTCTCACTAACACGGCTCAGGGGGTCCTCATGGGTCTAGTCACTGTGGTGACCGCCCTACCCCAGTCATCAGAGATTGGCCACAGAAACACTGAGTGTGGTGGTTGCTCCCAGTACACATACCTTTTATCCCTCAGCAGGGCAGGGCAGGGCAGGGCTGGGCAGGGCCAGGCAGGCAGGGAAGGTCAGGACAGGTCACTGTGACACAGCGCAGGTGGTACCCCAGCCTGCTCTGCCTGAGCTGAGGGGAGGACCTGCTCTTTCTGCCCTGGGAGTGTTGGTGTGGCAGCAGCCAGGAGAGGAATCAATGGGTTGGAGTAGAGGGGGCCTCCAAGTTGCCAGGCTATAGTGACTCTGCCCCAGACTTTGTCTCCCTCCCCTTGCACTTGGCACTTAATGGGGAACAACCCCACCCCCCCATTTCCCAGGCATGGTCAATTTCATGTAAGTATCCTAGGCCTGGGAATGGAAGGAATTTTATCTATTCATTTGTTCTTTGGGTGGACTAAAGAACCAAGGGGAAATTTTTCCCTCTGCCAGAAGCGCTGGTGCTTTCTCTGTATTCTTTTCTGTAAAGTAAATCATGTCTTACCACTGACCTATGGTCAGTGGATTCATTTTTTGAATCCTCAAGACCAAGGACCTACTGAAGAAGAAATTCTGGTAACAACTGCAGGGTTTGCTGAGCCCAGCTCGGGGAGGGGGGGGCAGAAGCAGGTGACAAAGGTGGACTATGGACCTGCCCTGGCCTTGGCCCATGTGGCTCCACTCTATAGGTCCCTCCTCTTCTTGCCTTGTATGGTCCACTGCCTCTTAGCCTTTGAGACTCAGGTCCCAGGTCACCACCTCCAGGAAGCCCTGTCTGTGCTTCCCTCTGTCCCTGCTTCCTCATAAGCCACAGGTGTGGCTCTGATCACTGCCATACCTGTCTGTGCTCTCCTCACCTTGGGCATGGACACCATGCAGCATGATGCCAAGAGCCTGTCCTCCCTTCCTGCCCTCTCTGGGAAGACTATATGCCTCATCCCATCCTGTATTAATACTCCATGATAAGGACAACAATTCTACCTACCTCCCAAAGTTATTGTCAATATCAGGCACAGTTGCCATCAATGCTTGGCTTCTGTGACCTCACTTAATGGGTCATCCTGAGGCCCATTTTACAGAAAACTGAAGACCCAGGAGGTAGCGTTACTCATCCAGAGCTGGAACTCTAAGCCTAGCAGTCTGACTTCAGAGTCTGTCCATGCCCTTCTGCCTGCCTCTATGAAAAGCAAAATGATGAGTAAATGTCTCTCAAAAGTACCCAACCATAAAACAATGCCAAATATCAATATTATTCATGCATTTCAGATATGTCTACCTCACCTATCATCTCTGGAGTGACTCACTTAGTAAATACCCAGAGTCTTCTCTATTTTCACAAATGCCCTATAGGGCAGGCAGGGTTCTAGGCCTTCCATATTCATACCTGATGAGGCACAATGAAGATAGTTCTGTTCTGTCTGCATTATCCCTGTCCCAGATCACTGAGTGAGGAGCCATGTTGGACAATGGTCTATATGACTCTGCATTGCCCCAGTTGGGCACTCCCGCTGGCCCCTGCCACAGGCCAGCATCCTCCATCAATGGTGCTAACTGGTACAGACCCATCCTAGCTCTCAGACTTCCACTCTGTGGTATTGTGGCCATGAGGTGGGGCTTAGGAGTATCCATCATAGCAGCAGGTGGGAATGGCTCTTAGCAATAACCTTCAGTGTCAGCTCCCTGCAAAGCAGGAGCCCAGGGGACATCAGAACCTCTGTAGATGACTCTGGGACCTGGAAAATCCTCCACAGGGTTGTCTCATATCACTACCCGCTGCTTTAATGTTCAATGTCCCATTGAAAAAAAGGAAAGAAAGAAAACAAACTAAACAAGCAAGCAAGGTGCAGTCATCATTTGGTTCTGGCAGGAGGAGGGACTGAGGGTTCTCAGGTGTTACTCACAGTCTGCAGTGGTCTCAGGCTGTTACTGCTGGCTCAGTCCTGCTGTCCGGGATCCTAGCATGTGTACAGTAAGCCCGGAGGATGCTGCCTGCTAAATCTTGTTTGGCAGCTTCCCTCTGGTTAATGGTTAGAGGGGACCAGTGGCCTTCAATGTTTGATAATCCCCTGCCCCCAGCCATTAACCAATGAGAGCCTTTTCCAAGAAATTAGAGTAAACAGCAATGCTGCAAATTAACTTTGCTCTGTGTTCAATCCCTTGAAGTTTTATTTTTTGATATAAAAACATGTCTGTGGTTACGTTAATGTAGTTGTCCTATGGCAGCTGACAGAGACATTATAGATGTCTATAATTAGCAGGAGGTGCAGACACCTGTGTAAAACCAGGAACTTAGCTCTGCTGGGATGACCTGGTTCAGGTTCTACCTTCTAGGGGCCTTCAGCCTGCTGGGAGAGACAGACTTGAACTATTATCAGCCAAGAGTTTCCCATGGATTCTCACTTAATCTTCACAATCACTCCATCAAGTGGGTACTGTTATTAGCACTCTTCTCAAATGGGAAACTGTGGCACATAGAGATTAAGTGAGCTGCCCTTGAGATTCAAATCCAAGATCATGAACTCTAAAGTCTAGCACTTTCTCTCTTCCCCCATGTTGTAGTCATGAGTTTTCTTTTGATTGTAAGTGACCGATATCAAATTTCAGTTGCTGCTAAGCAAAAAGGAGTATTTATTAAGTCTCATGAATGAGAGTTCCAAAGGGTGGAAAGGACTTTGGACATGGCTGGATCTGGGGTAGATTGCTTTGGGAAGTATAGACATTTTACAATGTTGATTCTTCCCAGCCATGAGCATGGTATGTTCTTCCATTTGTTAATATTCTCTGTTATTTCCTTTCTTTATAATTTTCTTTATAGAAGTCCTTCACTTCTTTTGTTAGGTATATTCCTAGGTATTTCATTTTCTTTGAAGCTATGGTCAAGGGAGTTGTGTCCTTAATTAGCCTCTCACCTTGGCTGTTATTGGAATATACAAAGGCTACTGACTTGTGGACATTGATTTTATATCCTGAGACATTACTGTATTTTTTGATGATTTCCAGGAGTCCTGTGGTTGAGTCTTTGGGGCTCTCTAAGTATAAGACCATATCATCATTGTGATTACAAACATATTAGGTTTATTTTTACCATTGGATTTTGTTTCAATTGGTCCTGTATTTACTCCGCTATTCTCTGCCTTTGTTTTTCCTACATTTTCTTTCCTTCTTTCACAGTATTTGTTCTCCATTTTTCTCTTTCCCTACATTATAAGTCTATATCTGTATTTCTAATATATATTCCTGGAATTTTATAATGTGCACTAGTCTCAGTATAATTTTTATTGCTTTATAAATGATTTATCTGGCTGATTTTAAGATTAATGAAGTATATTCAGTAAATTCTCAAAAAAAAAAGACCATATCATCAGCAAAGAGGAAGAGTTTGACCTCCTCTGCTCCCATTTGGATGCCCTTTATTTCCTTGTCTTGCCTAATTGTATTGGCTAGAACTTCCAGCACTATGTTGAATAATAATGGTGACAGAGGACAGCCTTGTCTGGTTCCAGTTCTAAGTGGAAAAGCTTTCAGTTTTACTCCATTCAGTAAAATATTAGCTGTGGGTTTGTCATAGATAGCTTTGATCAGTTTAAGAAATGTGCCACCTATGCCTATACTTTTCAGTGTTCTAATTAGAAAAGGATACTGGATTTTATCAAATGCTTTTTCTGCATCTATTGAGAGGATCATATGGTCTTTGTTTTTGCTTCTTTTGATATGGTGAATAACATTTATGGACTTGCGTATGTTAAACCAGCCTTGTATCCCTGGGATAAAACCCACTTGATCATGATGTATGACTTTTTTGATGATAAGCTGTAGACTATTTGCTAGGATTTTGTTGAGAATTTTTGCATCTATATTCATTACTGAAATTGGTCTAAAGTTCTCCTTTTTAGTTGGGTCTTTTCCTGGTTTTGGTATCAGGGTGATGTTTGCTTCATAGAATGTGTTGGGGAAGATTCCTTCCTCCTCAATTTTTTGGAATAATTTCTGCAGTATGGGAATAAGCTCTTCTTTGAAGATTTGATAGAATTCTGGTGTGAAGCCATCTGGACCAGGGCATTTTTTTGTTGGAAGATTTTTTATTGTTTCTTTGATCTCAGTGCTTGAAATTGGCCTGTTCAGGAGCTCTATTTCTTCCAGGCTAAGTCTAGGGAGATGGTGTGATTCCAAATATTGATCATTTTCCTTCACATTGCCAAATTTCAGAGCATAGAGTTTCTGGTGGTATTCAGAGATGATCTCTTGTATTTCTGTGGCATCGGTTGTTATTTCCCTTTGATCATTTCTGATTGAGGTTACTAGAGATTTTACTTGTCTATTTCTAGTTAGTCTGGCCAAAGCTTTATCTATTTTATTTATTTTTTCAAAAAATCACCTCCTTGTTTCATTAATTTTCTGAATGAGTCTTTTTTTTAAATTTCATTAATCTCTGATTTAATTTTGACTATTTATTTTCTTTTGCTGGGTTTAGGCTTAGACTGTTCTTCTTTTTCCAATTCCATCAGATGGCTTGTGAGTTTGTTATGCGCTCTCTTTCTGTTTTTCAAATGTAGGCATCTAAAGTGATAAATTTTCCTCTCAGGACCACTTTTACTGTATCCCACAGGTTTGGGTAGCTTGTGTCATCGTTGCTACACTCAAGAAAGTTAATGATTTCTTCTCTTATATCTTCCTGCACCCAACTGTCATTCAACATAAGGTTGTTTAATTTCCATGCCTTTGTATGGGGTTGAACACTTTTGTGGAGTTGAGTTCCACCTTTAATGCCTTGTGTTCTGAGAAGATACAAGGTAAAATTTCAATTCTTTTGATTTTGTTGAGGTTTGTTTTGTGTCCCAGGATATGATCAATTTTGAAGAATGTTCCATGGTCTGATGAGAAGAATGTATATTCTTTATCTTTGGGATGGAGTGTTCTATATACGTCTATCAAGCACAGTTTGTTCCAGAGTTTCGTTTAAGTCTCTTGTATCTTTGTTTAATTTCTGTTTAGAGGATCTGTCCAGCTCTGAAAGAGGGGTGTTATTATGGAGTAATTGGATATCATATTACTCAGACTAAGTAAGGTCTGTTTCAAGAATCTGGGAACAATTAAGTTGGGTGCATAAATATTTAGAATTGAAATATCTTCTTGTATTTTTCTCTTGGCCAATATGAAATGACTATCTTTGTCTTTTTTGACTTTAATTGCTTTGACTCCACATGTATCTGAAAATAAGATTGCAACCCCTCTTTTTTTCTGGATTCCCTTTGCCTGAAAAATTGTCTTCCAATCCTTAACTCTGAGTTTGAATTTGTCTTTTGAGGCTAGGTGTGTTTCCTGCAGACGATAAATGGATGGCTTGTGTTTTTTAATCCAATCAGCCAATCTATGCCTCTTCAGTGGGGAATTCAAGCCCTTAACATTTATTGAGAGAAAGGTCATTGTTTAGTTTTGTCTTTTGTGTCATTGTGGAAGCTAAGTTCTGTCCTTTAATTTCTGGGTGCTTACTTTGCTGGTGGTCCATTGTGATGGTCAGTGTGTAAAACAGGTTGAAGTATTTCCTGTAGATCTGGTCTTATTGTGGCAAATTTTCTCAATATTTGCATATCAGTAAAAGATTTGATTTCTCCCTCCATTTTAAAGCTTAGCTTAGCGGAATATAGAATTCAGGTCTGGAAATTGTTCTGTTTAAGTAGATTAAAGGTAGATGACTACTATCTTCTGGCTTGAAAAATTTCATTAGAAAAGTCTGCAATTGCCCTGATGGATCTGCCTCTGTAGGTCAATTGGTGCTTACTCCTAGCAGCTTGCAAAATCTTTTCTTCTGTCTTGACTTTGAACAGGTTCATCACAATGTGTTTTGGAGAAACTCTATTTGAGTTGAGGTGATCTGGGGTCTGATATCCCTCTGAAAGGAGTGTGTCAGAATCTTTGGTGATATTTAGGAAATTTTCATTTATAATATTCTCTAGTATGGCTTCGATTCCCTTGGGACATTCTTCTTCCCCTTCTGGGATACCTATAACTTGTATGTTTGAATGCTTCATAAAGTCCCATAATTCTGTCAGTGAACATTCTGCTTTCTCTCTCTTCTTTTTTGCCTTTTCTCAGATAATTATCTGAGTTGTCTCAAGAGCTTTGTCCTCTGCCTCTGAAATTCTCTCTTCTGCATGGTCTAATCTGTTGTTGATACTTTCTATTGAATCTTTAAGTTCCCTAATTGACTGCTTCAGTTTCTTTAGCTCTGCTATAACCTTTTTATATTCTTCATATTGTTCATCTCTTATTTGATTCTGTTTTCGAATTTCCTTTTGGTTACTTTCCACTTTCTCAGCAATTTACTTCATTGTTTTCATGATCTGTGTTTTAAATTCCCCTTCTGTCATTTCTAACTTTTCCTTATAGGTGGAATCCTCTGTAGTAGCTACCTCACAGTCCTATGGGGGAGGGTGCTCTGGACTGGTTTTTCATGTTGCTAGGATATTTCTGCTGGTTCTTCCTCATGAGTGTTTCCTTTTATCTGTTTATTTGCCCTAATTTTCCTTTCACTTGCTCTTGCTCTTTAGGTTCCTGTGCCTCTGGCCTAAGGTTTTAACATATCCTTTTTATATAGGACCAAAAGGATGAGAAAATTGAGGAGCAAGAAAGGAGAAAAGATTAAAAAAAAAGAAGAAGAAAAAGAAGAGAGGGTGAGTAAAAGGGAATATTGACTAAAAGAAGAGAGGCACAGAATGCGGGAGACAAGAATAATAAATGTGTACAGTAGGGTACTTTGCCCCATCCTTAAAACCCCCCAACCTCTGGGAGTGCTGGGTTGGGTGGTTCCCTTGAGGTCAGCAGCTCTTTGCCAGCCTGTTCAGATGCAGTACCCCACCTTCACCAAACAGAGAGGAAAGAAAAATACTATAAATCAAACCAAAACGAACAAACAAACAGAAAACCTTACAGGATAAAATTGGGGGAAAGACAAAATAATAGGGGCAGAAACACTAGCAAAAATGAAGTTCTTATTATTAAAGAAGGCAACAATGGAAAATTATATTT